ATTTATATTTTTTACTGTTTTATTCGAGCGTTCCAAGCATTATAATAATATACAGTTTCTAAGCATTCCTGTAGCTTCACCAGTGTCCAGTACCCAAAACCTTCGGTCTCATGTTTCTACCCTATCTCGTATTACTATCATCTCTCCTAGATTATATTACAATAAGAGTTAATGATTAAAATAAATTCATAAATCGTCGGTTCGTCCACGCAATTCATTACAGTATTTAATTTATAAACGTATACAATTTAGAGAGGTATCTTCCCCCTTTTATTTATTTCTTTGAGAGAGAGATTATTTTTTAAATTTAATATAAAATTACCCAGAGTCCTAATAAAAGCAGATTATTTTAATTAAATGTACAGTACCCGGGAATCTTGTATCAAAATAATCCTATATTAGAGGATTCTCGTGAAAGCAAAATATTTTATTTAATTTTATAGGACGAACGAATCTCGTATCGAGGGATTTATTTAAACGAAAGCAAATGATTTTATTTAATTTAGTGGAATCGAGGGAGGTTTTCGAGGTCTCCTGGGTCCGCTATTGATCGTATTATATTTGCTCGCTGAGAGGCCTCAAAATGGATGGTCGAAAACGCGAGGCTTGGAATTAAATAGCCGGAATCGGGTAAAAGGAATACGAGTCTAATTTCGTGTTATTCGAGTCCTGTATTTAGACGTGAATTTCTTTCTGTGTTTCCCAGGGACACTGGCGGATGGCGTGTCGCAATTATGAGAATACACGGTATCGCGAGGCTAGATCGCCGGAACGAGGCGGAGGAAGGTCTTGGTCATAAATCGTCGATCCTCTCGCGTCGCTTTTGCCCCCGAAATCCGTTCAATTTCAAATCGAGCGTGTAAATAAAGCAAAGGAAGCGCAATGGACAAGCTCTTCGTAGCTGCAAAGTAGACTGCCTCGTCTCTGCGGAGTCCGAGTTAAGCAAAGAGAGACGACGATGGCAGAGCGCTTTTTTCGGTTTTTTTTTTCTTCCCTTCCCTTTTTATCTCTCCCCCTCCATCGCTATTGGATATTCTGAATTACGATGGCAATCTTTTTCATTGCCGTGAAAGCTCGGGCCACGTCGCATTTGCAATTCGATACGCCGCCGATGGTTGCGCGAGTATTAACCGACGCTCTTCTATGAATACGACGGGAGCTTTCGAGTTTAGAAAAAAATTGAAACTCAAAGTTGTAGCAAAAGGAACGATCCCCCTGTTACCTAAATAGCCCTCCGCGTCCACTGATTCTACGTATTTTTTTTTAAATAATCATCCAAAAGCAATTTGTAGTTTTATCTCTTCCTGTTCCGCGCAAACTATGATTCCACGAGGACCCTAGACAACGTTTTTAGATAAAGGTCAAAACGTTATCGCGTTTTTTATCTGTATAATGTATTGACGATAAAAAGATAAGGCCATTACCGGGTATCTCTGCTCGTATTTATTTTTATTCTAATACAAATAGAACGATAAAGTAACAAGGAACTCGTGAGTAGATCGGTAATTTGGTCGAAAAATATTGAATAAAAATTTTCCAGTTGCTCGTGACAGAAATACGGAGATAAAAAATTTTGTTATCGTTGCAACGAAATTAATATTTCACTTGCAAAATACCGATATCTGGGGCGCAATTTATTAAATTTTCATTATCGTTCTCGAACAACAAGCTCACGAGGAATGAAAAATAAATGCAATCCTTTGGAATTTATTTCCTTTGGTTGCAATTTGCGGGAGTTGCATTATTTTGATACACATGTTTATTCGGTTATCGAGTTTCTGCAATTTCTTCGAGATAAATTCTCCTCGGGCATTCCCGTGAAAGATACTTGGACGATAAGAAATGTAATCCATCCTCTCTGATTCGCTTTTCACTCTCAAAAATGGAAGCTTTTACCGAAGTGGTATTTTCGAAACGAACGAGGACTGGAAACATATTACCTAAGCGGCGAGGGACCAGCTTTTTTTTTTTATTCTAAATTCGCTTTTTCATTTGGTTAAGTACTAGTTTCCCGCTTCGATTATCAGGTATCGTTTAATTAAATTGCGCGGAAAAGTTCTGCGCTCGTTACGATTTAATAAAAACAAGAAACAAACCCGCCTGGAAACGTTGAACTTTACAATATCTTCGTAAAAATAATTTTCGAAGAAAATTAAATTGCGTCCTATAATGCGCCGTACAAGATTAGATAGTATTATCTAATAACCATGTATGTGACATAAGCGATAAAAATAACGTACATAAATATGTATATTTATATAATACCTTCGTGGTTCCTCCGTGCTCGTGAAATTTGCATGCAATCTCTTTGATAAGAACGAAATTCGTATTTTTACGGCGCGGTTTGAAAAGTGTTTCCGAAAATAAGCAATTGCAAATTCTTCTTTACACTGTCTGTAGAATGTACAAAATATTTATTTAGATTTTTAGAGAGCACGTTTCCCCTTTTCCATAAAAATTCCCAGACAACAAGGTTAGAGATGCAATTTAAAATTTAAAATTTAAAATAACAATCCGACGCAAGAAATAATCCCCTCGCGGTTGTGTCAAAGGTATTTAAACAAATTTTAAACGAGAATTCGGGATATAAAAAAATGGTTGCAAGTGGTATAGTAACGCGAAAAAATTGCATTTCGGTGCAGCGAGCGTGATTGATGTCCGAGTGCATCTTGCGATGCGCTTCTGCATTCGGCGGTGCAGAGACCCGCGTCGGTGCCCTCGCGTGCTTCGTTAATCACGCACGGTGACGGCTGAATCTTGGCAAGAAGAGGAAAAAGAGAAAAAAAAACACCGGGAAGAAAAGAAACGAAACGAGAGAGGAGGTATAAAAGACACGAATGCGATTCGTTGGTCGGTTCGGCGTTACCGCGGGAAGCTCGTCGAGAATTAACTGGCGGGACTGTACGCTTCTACGTTTATCGAATTCGTTTCTATCTCGCTTTCTGTACGATAGCAAACGCTTCTTTTAATCAAATAATGCGAGTGACTCCGAGTATGATTAAAAATTGCGCGGCGTACAATCCTGCGCGAAAGTTTCTCGAAAATAAATTTTATCCGACGAGTGTTTCGAACTTACGGACGCGGAGGTAATTAATTAATGTACCTGGAAGCTCCGGCTGGTGAATTAAAGTGAATTTACAGGTGGAAAATTGAAGAATAATTATTTAAAAAAGTAAAAAATATTTTTTAACCCTACAAATAGTTTGTAACGAATGTGTCCGAGATTGAAGAAATATGCGAAGATGAAATTGAATAAGTATGCTTTGGATAAGCGCGCGAAGAAATCAGAATGTGCGATCGATTCGCGTTGATAAGAGAGAAGTATGTTCTTATCTAAGCGCGATTCAGTTTGGAAAGTCACCCCGTATAAAAATAATCGAAGCTCCGCGGATGATCTATGTTGCTCGAAAAGCGGCATAAAATTTATACGAAACGTGTACCGAATACCCATTCAGGCTAAGGTTCAAGAAAGATCAAGGTCGAGCGTGAATTATTATCAATTTTATTTCAAACAGAAACTTACTTTTCATTCCTGAACGATGGGAATTCGTATCGCACGCTGACCGATCATTTCGAAAGCCTAGAAAATTTATCACATCGCGTTTGTTGGGCTCTACGTTGCCTGAATCTTAACAGGTTGTGTTATCGTTTTCCATTTAGTCTTCAAAATGAGCTCAAGGTTCGTGAAACTTTCGGAATAAAAGTAAAAAGTTTGGTTCACGGTGTATATTTAACGTTTCTTTATTTTCTTTACTAATTCTTCTCGAATTTATATTTTTTCTTTAAAACATTGGCTGGTCTTTTGGCTCTTGTATGGAAGAAAACTTTTACCTCAAGAAGTTCTTTGAAGACTGTTCTTTTGGTACAGATATTTTAGCACTCTTGTGTTAAAAGTTTCTTGAAGACCTGTATTTCAAAACTTTTATTAGAAAAGGTCTCGTGTAGTAAATAAAACAACACATTTTAATTTATAAAAATGTTTAAAGTTACTTCCGGAGATGGCAAACGTGGCAACCGAGACGTTAACAAATATTAAATTGGTAGAAACAATTTTTCCCCATTGTTGCTGTTCGTGTGTGCTTACCAGGAAGCAAAGGTGTTGCTGGTAAATGCTGTTTAAAGGAGCACAGTGTTACAAATGAGTCTGGCTGGCATAGGATATGAGTCACCTAACGACTTGTTTCACTTGACGAACGTCCATAAAACCGAACCGACGGCTCGCAAATAAGCATGCTCTCGACACCAGCCTTAAGAGTGCTTCAACTCTTTCGCTGACGACGGACGTTGCCTTATTTTTGTTCGCTCGCTTTCATGTTAAAATAACGGCCGATAACTGTTCGCCGCAGAACCACTGCTAGTAAATAGTTTTTTGGTAATGGAGGATGAGTGAAATGTTTTTCAAAAGGGAGGAGGTGCAGTTCGTCTCCAATATCGGTCAGCGGACTCTGATTAAGTTAGCTCACCCTCCAACGCAAAATTTTTACTCTCAATTCGATTTGCTATTTTGTAAAATATTTAGAGTGTCTTACGATCGTGAATCGTGAAAAACGATCCCTAAAGAAGCTCGTTTGTAAGAAATAATACAGATACGTCGTTCGCGAACCATGTTTGAAATTTATTTTAATTAAACGACGCTCAAAGGATTCGCGGAACAAATGAAAATGTTGATTGCATGTTTCTAGTAATTGGATCGATGCGATCGCGGCGTTTGATATTCTGGGTTCGGAGCAGAGACGGGCAAAATTTTATTCGAATAATAGATATTGAATAGGAGCGCAGGGCAGCCGTTTATTCGCTACATCAAACGATTACTCAAATAAACTTTCGTTCGTTCGACGTGAAACGTTATTTCGTTCTATAACTGAGATTGTTGGCTGTTGTTGAAAAAATTTTCCTATAAAACGCTATCGAACAGCGTGAAACATTGTCAAACGTTCTAAAACGCGTGTAATATGAAACTGTGACCTATGTTAAGCCGTTTTTCAGCTAATGGAACGAAGATGTTGGTTTCGTTTCAGTTATTGGGCGGTGCTTGCTTCAGCCACGGCCCGTACACGTTTTACAAAGCAGTGAGGGTAGGAAGTGGTCGTGTGTTGCGTCTGGGCAGCTTCTTCCTGACGAAACTCTGGAGCGATGCGGACCTCGTCAGCATCGGGGAGCTTCAGCTGCTGTGGATGGATAGTCGGGGTCCGAATCAACCCTTGGCGTCCTTACGGCTATACTTCCTGCCGGAGAACACCCCGGATGGTCGAAGGGACATGCACGGAGAGGTGACTCCTTTCAACTTTTATCCTCCTCATTTTATCCCCTCCTTCGTCCAAGCATTATTAGGTTGCTGTTTCAATCAGGACTTCAAAGACACCAAACTTTTCTTAAAAATTATTTCTGATTGAAATACTTTCCAATGTGATTTTTTTCTACGCTTCGACTGTAAAGCATCGATCGCCGAGCTCATTTAACGACTCTCAGGGCGATCTCTGAGATTTTATTTTATTGTACAAACTGTTGTACGTATATCCGCTTATGTTTTGCGTTCGTTTTCGTTAAGGTTATAGATTTTTTAATTCCACGAGAGAACGAAAGAATCCGTGTCTCGCGTGGTTTCGTTTTCGAGTAATTATTTCCGTGCAGAAATCTAAAACTTACGCTGGTTTCGAACGAGCACGGTGGTGCCGGACGGGCAATATAGAAGGCAACGTTTTCGAGCAATGAATCAAAGGGATTGCTTCATTGTTCTTATTGTGAAAATAATGCGGGAGAAGTAATCTCGGTTTATGGCGAGACCGGGACATAAATAGTTGCGCTAGAAAATAGAGAGTAATATTTAAAGTAATAAATCAGTGGTAGGATTGCTTCATTGTTTTTATTGTGAAAGTAATGTTGTCTCGACTGGACACGGGGCATGATTTGTTTGGACCGCGGAACCGGTGCCGGGGCAACGTTTCGAATAATGAAAATCAGGTGAATTGCTTAAGCGATCTTATTTTCTGCCCGTAGCCGAGTCTCGTTTGTTTTCGTCGTCCAAGTGCGACGTGTTTCGTACGGAATAAATTTACGAAAAGGAATCCGAGCAAACGGTCTCCGCGCGTAACTTCACATCAAAATTAATTGGTCCAGATAAGATAACGCGTAATCATTTTCTTCTTACGTTATAATTATACACCGCGATATCGATTGAACGCGTGTATAAGCACGGCAAACCGAAGAAACGGTATCGAAAGCATTCGTCGGGGGACAGAGAATAGAAATTTCGAAATCGCTTAGATAAAAGTAACAAGCAAACAATGACAGATGTTTAATACCGATCCCGTGCGTTTTAGGGCAACTTGTGCTATGATTCAGCAAGATACTCTTCGTTTATCGGAGACCGAGACACAGAGAATGGCCTGAATTTTATTCGTACAGCCGATGACGCATAAAAACACGTGATAGCGATTTATTCTCCGCGTTTATTCCCTTGAACGGTTATTAAGATAAGCTTTTATTCAGCATATGTCGTGAATTGCTCGGTAATCTCGAGTAACGACACTTTAGTATTAATCATTGTTTATTGTACAAACCGTTTTAACACATTAGTATCAATCGTTTATTATATAAATAGCAATAAATTATGCTCTATTGACGGGGCTTTTTGTACGTTCAAAACGCATAAATATTATATTTAACTTTCGATAGTTATCGTTGTTCGTTGCGCTAACATTATTATCAATCGAAATGGGAATTTTTCACCGAGGAGATAATATGACGAAATAAAATTAGAATCCATTTTAATATCGCGTAATTAAAATGCAAGCATATCGAATCGTTTCTATATAAGTAAATTAATTGAAGCGGTCGTCGTTGGATGCTGGTCGAAATGTTAATTAACAACCGCATACTTGGAACGACTTCGGTTGCTTAATAGTTCGGCATAATTGTTACTGTTACAAACGTTGCAACCTTTGATATAAAGTGTAGAACAAAAATAACTGATAATAGTGAGTGGATAATGAATTATCAGATAATGAATACTCGAGCGGCAGTGGAGTCGTATCAGGGGCAAATTACAGAGAAGAAAAACAAGAAATCTGCGTAAAAGATACGCTGCGAGCACTAAACCAAGTAACACATACCTTACAGAAAAGTTTACGATCTTGTCGGGGAACCATAATAGAATTATTCCAATTAAATATTTAGGTGGACCAGATAATATTTTCTACCGATTAATTTTGTTCATTAACATTCGTGAACGTTAGGTTTCGATTCGTATCGAACTGGATCGCATCTTCGGCAAAAGCACAGTCGAATTAGAATTAATCCTGTCTTATAATAACACGATTACCGCGTCCACGATACCGTTCGAGGCACATTCGTGTACTCGGGAATCAAATTCACCTTGTATTATGCTAACGACATGCTAATGGATCCTTCTTTAACGACCGTTTCCTTTTGTGAGTTCGCTTTTGATTCCTCGAGCCTCCGCGCCGGTCGTGGGCTTCTCCATCCGACAATATTAATTATGGAATATTGTATCCGCGCGATTTCACGGCGAACGTTCGAACGTGAAAGTCGAAAATTGAAAATCGCCAACGGCAGAAACCACAAAGAACAAATTTCATTATATTATTCGCGTGAAGAAAGTACCAATTAATTTTTTCCCCCCGGTCATTAAGTCAACATTGTTCCTTTTGTGTATGATTATATCCACGCAATTGTACCTCGAGTACCAAGCTCGATTATCGAGGTATTTGATTCAATCGTCTAGCTTTAATTTAAATAGTCGCGTTAAAAAAAACCAGTTTGATAGTACTAATTTTTAATCCCCCCTGATTGTAATTTGAAAAAAATAATAATTAACGAGCAGCGCGAGTTATGAATAACCATAAACGTTGAAACGGAAAATATATATGGAACGATAATATTCCGCTAAGCCGACGTGGAACTCTGAAATTGAAAATCAAAGGTCGCTCGATTAGAAGGCTTTGCATATTAATGGGATTTATGCAAACGGAGCATTCGAATTGAAAGGACTTCTAGTTTTCCTCCTCGACGGTAATAATGCGTGGGCGAAATTATCGATTTCAATTAAACGATCAACGGAGACGCGGACACACGTGGCGCGATTTTCCAAGAGTCGAGAGATCGGGGGAGGGGGGGAGGGGGGGGGGAGGGAAAAAATTCGATAACGCCCCCCAATATACGTCGTTTCTCGCGTCCTTCTATTAGCGTGGTCGATAGACGAGGGGAGGGGGGGGAGGAATAAATCTATATTTTGTTTTATGAGCACGCCACGAAATTCCATGAATTTTTCAATTCTGCTATTTCCGCTGGTTGTTTCTCATTTGTTCGGCTTGTCCCAATTGATTCACCGTTCTCTCGTCGATTTAATGCGGTTGCATTTTTCGTTGACAGCGCGGCGTTTTGTTTATGAACGGGCATAAATTTCTAATTATCGACTGGTTTACGTTGCTTCATTGCGATGTTTACGGCGCTCGCTGCCCACGAGTGTTTCTACGCCTCGCGTGCTGTAATATAACATAAGCTGTCCAGTTTCTCTAATCCGATAATCGTTATTCGTACGATGGAAACAAGTAACGTTAAAAAAACCAGGTCCATTTTAAGAAGGAAAACGTTAAAACATTTTTAAGAAGGAGCCAAGTTTCGGGATCGCGCGGCGAAACGAAAAGCAAGAAAGTTCTAACGCGTTATTTGTTAAGATATAGGAAATGGCGCGCTCACGGCGGTCGTAAGGTACGCTTAATGCAATTTATTACAGAGGAGGAAGACAAGAAAACGCTGCAGAAGCAGATCTGTATGTTGTTCCCGCAGTTTTCATAGTTACTGGCTTTTATTCAAAAAACCGTATTTGCATTCTCATTATTTTCTGTATTCTCTTCTTTTTTTTTTTATTTCTTTTCCTCCCTTTCGTCGGAGTTCTTCTGAAACTTCGCCGGAGCGGCATTCTTGTAACTCGTTTTCTGCCTTCCGCAAATATTAATTTCGTTTCTTTTCTTCGTCGCTCGGTATACCTAAATAGAACGAGCCGTGAATCGCGCAGCGATGTTTCTACCGAAACGTTCAATGGCGGCTCGGATGACGTCGCTCAATGACTCTAACCGTTAGCCAACTAATTAGCAAAAACCCCCTCGGAATCATTTGTTCATTATTTTCGTAGTGAATTACGCCGAATGAAATTCGTCGATTGTGAAAGCTTTGTTGGGTTTTGACGCCACTTGTCTCGCTAATTGCCAGAGAAATTGATCGATATTTGTGTCGGAAATGCTTATAAATTTTCATATTTTTCTTGGAAACAACTATTTGAACGAAACGTCGAAAAGACTCTTGCAGTTTTTCAGAAAATTTCAGGAGCGAAAAGTTAACGAGAGACTGGCGTATGCAAACCAGGAGCACGTTTAAGATAAAAAGGGGGTGTAGAGGGGTTAATAAAGGCGAGGCTGTAAAGTACAGGGTGGCAGATGTAAAAATGCTCATCGAGGGGTCGAAAGGACACAGGGCAATCCCTCGCTGGATTGTTAGGGTGGATTTTGGGGTCGGTCTGTTCCTACTATCGGGACATTGTCAATTAAGCACACCCCTTCGCTCGTCATTTTCACTGTTTACAGGCCGGTTAGCTCGAAAGGGGCGCGCGTTGCACGCCAGAAATGGATTCTGTTTCTCGCCTAATGTCCCGGAATTTGATTTTCCACCGCCTATCTCTTCGATTATTCGTCTAATAAGGTGCGTGCAATCGAGACACCTCCAGGGCGTCGAAAGTACACTCGGTTTCCTATTATCCGTTTCGATTTATCTGCACAGAATACAGTCGGCTACACAAAGCCACCGTTCGATAGATTTTCCAACTAATTTTATCGTTTACGTAACACTCACACAGTCCATGTATTTAACAGGCCCTATTTTAACATTTTCAAACAAATTTAATCATTCATTTTCTGTGTTTAATTTGTAAAAATTAAATAAATTATGTTAATATCTTTTACCCTGAATTGTACGCTGTATTGCAGCGTATTGGAAATTCTGTCGCGTACTGTACTTGCTTGATTCGGTATGCAGATATTATTGACCTGTTTCCACGGTCCTATTAAATTTAGGCAATCAGGCAACAACTAGAAAATCCGATTGAAACGTGTCCATTTTCTGGAATATTAATTCCCAATTTGTCTATAATATTCTACCTGTGACAGATAACAAAGTAAAACTTTACTTTATGAATATTCAAATTTTACTAATCTATGTATTTCGATTCTGGCTTATCAGAAAACCCTTTAATGCT